TAACGGGGACTGTCCCATGATGCATGCATGCTTGTATAATGTATTTTTGACCATGTCCTTGCCCGTTTACACGATACGCATATTCTGCTATCCGGACGACTTCCTCCAATAGTTCCAATAGTAATTATGCTACGTTTACAAGTCAAACACTTGTTCTGCATTCTAAAGTCACATTCCTGACATAGAAAATGTCCGGCGTTATTGGCTCGATCAATCCTATGATCAGTACATAGCGGTTGTAGGCATCCGTGGCACGAATGTAAGATGCTCTTATCACAGCATAGACACATGACAGAATTCTTCGGATGTAAATGGTTGATGTCATATTGGCACGTTAAAATTCCACAGAAAGGACAGTAACACGTACACGCAGAAATCGCCAAGTTTGTACAATCTTTGCATATATCGCGCTGAGTTTCCGTACAGCTGTGGACGACGTCGCATAGTCGATTCATTATTATAATGGTTGCAATCGTTCGTGTAAACCTCTGTTTAAATACCTTGTGAATTTAGAAACGAATTTTATATAACTCTGTCTATAATTATCTTCCGTCGCTTTCCTGTCACGACGAGTCAGTTTCTCAAATCTTATCTCTTTATATTTTTGTAAATCTCGGAGATACTCACAGAACGAAGAGCTGAGTTCAGCTATACGTATTTTAGAAAGAAATGTCTCTGCACAATCACCGAGAGCTCCCCTCATTTTTGAATTTAAATAATGAAATCCATCGTTAACTAGATAAGTGAACCATTCGGATACACCACTTCTAACAACGTTGCCTTCGGTATCGATGGATCGATCTAAAACTTCGAAATGATCTAAGTTGAATATTTTGGAAAATGTTAAAGCTAGATGCTCGAATTCATTTTGTTTCGTTTTTGGTGGCGATGGTTGTGCGTCTTGCAGTTCTTTTAAGCGAATTTCTAAACTCTTTGCTTTATTGTAAATCACAGAATAAGCATCTTGCAGACGCTGGATTTCATTATTACTACTTCCGCTAATTCTGGGTGTTTGTTTGTTCGTTAACGAACCTATGCGAGACTGCCTGCGCCTCTTTTTTTTAACAGACCCGCCACCAGCACGCTGCTTTGTATTATTATTTTTATTTAATGCCGTTCGTATCATGGAAGCCAACATTCTATGTACATATATATATATATATACTATATATATCTATATCTATATATATATATATATATATATATATATATAATCACCTATTTACTAGGTGTGTACACAAATATACGTGTACTAGAATGAATTGGGACCAATTTTTATTGCGAGCTCGTAATGTAGGTATCCCACAATTTTTTTGTGAGCACATGCGTGCGGATGATATTCTGCATACACGTTCGTCAAATGAATTAATGCAATTCAAATCCACTTTTCAAAATTCTATCCTTCGAAACGTGGAAAGAATACAATCGGATCTATGTGATCAGAAAAACCGAATACACCGTCACCGATCATTAGACACAACCCCAACTTCATATCGGCACACAAAACGACTCGGCGACCAAAAAATATTAATAGCCGTGTATAACAATAAACACAATTTATTAGGGTTTATGTTTCCAGTCAATGAGGGAGGAGGAGGAGGAGGAGGCACTACAGACGGTACTAAAAAAAATCACTTTGAAACGTGAATCTTCTACAGCTCTTGGAACTATTCGTACTAATAATAACAGCTACCGTGTAATCATTCCGGAAAATCAACATTTGAAATTACCAAAATTATGCGAAGCGGATATTCAATTAAACTTTCTATTGGACATCCATAAGTCACTTAAAGGCAATTGTTGGTTATCAATTGATTAACGTTTTGTTAACGAGAGTATAGTTTGCATTATTACAATCATCGCTAGTACTCGTGGTCGTCACGACGACGTGTAATTCATGATCATCGGTGGTCGGTTGTGGTGGTGGTTGAGAGGCCGTATCGTGAACGTCGTCGATATTATCTTGCAAAAGAAATTTTTCAAGTTCGTCTTGAATGTCTGTGTCGTTATATGGATAGTCTGTGAGTGCTGTCTTATCTATGGGAATTTCAAGGTTATCGGCCATGTTTTCGACGTAACCACTGTATAAGGTAGCCACTGCTAACGAATCTTCCAAAGTTTTTTGATCCACGTTTCTGGGTACGAGATTTAACGTCAGTCTGCTGTTGTGACATATGTCATGCTTAGCCATCGTGTATTGTACCTGGACCAAATTACTCTGCACGTTATTCAAATGTTCGTAGAATTTATACATGACTCGCCGCTTTCTCAGTAATGATAATAGATCACACTGCAACATTTCGAGATCACAATACGCAGTCTGTTTTTCTTGTATGAAAGTTATACCGTGTCCGCCGTCCACTCGCGATACTTTACAATTTGTCAACAGCATCCGTCGGATGTCAATTTGTTTGCTCGTACATACTCTAATGAGTTCGGCAACATCCGCTTTTTTTTCGTTAATCAGATTTAGTACTCCAACTAATCTATTGGAAAGTTCGCCTATTGACTCGTTTTTCTCGATGTCGGTATTAACATGTGTCCAGCCCGATCTTGAGCGGCATAACTTTAGAACATAGAAGGCAATGGATTTCGTAATGTGTTTAATGTGGTTAATAATTCCCTCGGCCATGGCTGTAGTAAATATGCGTGTTCAAGATAATTCGTATCGAGTCGTGAATAATAGCGTTTTCGTTATAGCGTCGTCCGTACGATCGGTGACGTTCACTGCAGCGGCAGATACTCGGACTAATAAACCATTGTGTCACATTCTCAAAAACGCTGTATGTTACGTGCAAAACAACGGACGGCAGACTTACGCTATACCTAGGTTACCACCTAATACGATTTTTTCTATAGACATTTCAATCGCGTACGTACCTACGTTTTCGGCGAATGATGAACCCGCGTTGTTTTGCAACACTGTGACCCAAAATAGTTATTATTATTTGCTGCAGAGATGCGTGAAAAGTGTGTCACTATATAATACAACAACAACAACAACAACAACCGTCATCAACAACATTACGCGGACAACGGCGCAACTCACTACTCGTCGTGACTCATTAAGATTGACATTTCTGGTAGACGAATTAGAATCTTCACGCGATCTGATCCAGTCTCGGACCAGACTCAATGCGATTATCATTATTGTGGCGATGGGTCTATTAATTATATCGACGTGGCTATTAGTAGACATGTATTTTATTAATATCGATCATTTAATAAACATTTTGCATTCGAAAATTCTTCATCAATTGTCATAAAAGATGTTGTTATTTCTTTCGAGAAATGTAAATAAAACAGACAGTTAATGATATAATGGCTATAGCGACTAATAACCCAATTATTATTATTAATCGGATATTAGATTGTTCGTCAGTGACCGTAGATGACTTGTTTGGTGGTGATGATGATGATGGCGATTTCGTGGCAGGTGACTTAGGTAATCGTGGGCACATAGAACCAGACATAGTAATTTGAGTTTGTGTGAGTTTATCGCAGTCGTAATAGCCAGACTTACAGTTACACGTACACAGTGTATTACGACAGCTGAAATTTCCATTGGATTCTATTGAACAGCTACCGTCTGATACATTTTTCGGCAATATTATGCATTGCTTAAGGGTCGAACAGTCGCACCGGCGTGACCCAGTTTTAGTGGGACATTCGCGTATATTGATGGCTTTATTATTTCGCTTTGTAAACCAACTCACGATACACGTCTCGGTCGCCACCACCGCGGCGGGTACATTGTGACTAGAT